TCATGTCACGTCACGCTGAGAAATTATGGGATGTATACTAATCAATTCATAAAGAAACACGCATTCTCATGACACTGGTAATTATTTCTATAAGTCAGTCCGTAGGCCATCATCGAAGCAACAGAGTCTCTTTTACGAATGGATTAAATAATTTCAGCGATTTCTTTACAGAATAATTTTCAACAAAACTTAGAAACATCACACAGAAAAATACAGGCTCTAAAATTATGTCTATTGTAAAACTATTCAACCGACAACCAGTTTAACGCCACAATTTCTTGCTGGAGCCCGAGTTCTACGCGTGATTTTATTGCGTTCAAAACTGTTCCATTTCAAACTGCGCATGCACACACAATGGTATCTCGAAATGCATACTAATTAGGTAACTTGTTACGAATAAAAGTTACTGAAAACATTTTGAGCAATTTTGAGCAATAGTACTAAAGGAAAATATAAACGTGCCTCTGCATTCTCCATGAATTTTGTAACTTGCTATGATCACGGTAAAGAAAAAACTTTTGGTTACTTTCAACAGTTTGTTGGAGTGATCAAAAACGTGTCTCAAAAACATTTTTACATCAGTTTTCGATTATTTTTTCCAGCTCGTAGCGATAGAACCAGTCAATTTAGACTATAATATGTGCTACGGAATGAATGTTGGCACAAGTTTACTGAAAAGACAAAGTTTTCATTGCTCATGAATATTAATTTTGTAAATGGGACGATTATTTCAACCAATTGTGTCATGCAATTCCCCACTGCCAATACCTGCGATACGAGAGACAACATGCATACACATTCTTCTTTATTCAGGTTACCTGGCACCCACAATGGTAAATGTTGTTCTACAATGTCTGCATTATAAAAGACTACGTGCGTTCGCATTTTTTTATTCAGCTTTCCAGGTACCCATGACCTCCTCTATGAGGAGAAAACATGTAAAGTGAAAACTATATTTTATTCAGGTTATGGGCACCTGTCGTTGTTATTATTGCCATACAACGTATATTACATGTAATCGCATATCTTTTTATTCAGATTATGGACGTTGCTTATGGTAACTATTGCCATTCTGTGGTTGCCATATATGGAGACGTATGGAGGCGGGCAGCTGTTCGTCTATCTGCAGAGTGTTAACTCGCACATTTCACCCCCGATGACTGCGTGTTTTATATTGGCTATCTCATGGGGACGGATAAATGAACAGGTGTGTGTCGAGTGACGAGTGACGATGTTCTTCATGAAGGAACATCAACAATATGTTTCCGAGTGTTTCCAATTCAAACTTACTTCAATTGCATTCAAACTTTATACAAATACGACATTACTATATTACGTATGCTCATTATGCTTTTCATCAAGAATTTCTTGACGAAATTTAGTAATTTGGTCTTTTCATTCTCAAACTAAATTCATTCATACTTAGGCAACACTCAATGAATTATATCTGTACATAATTTTACTTTCATATATTTGCATAGATTACGTAATCCTATTACGTATACATATTATTCAAATATAAGCAAATTATGCCATTGTGGCTGCACAATGGAATACACATAAAAGTGACATACATTTTATAACATTTTATAGTAAATTGTGTATTTGATCAAACCATGGTCTGCAAATCATCGGCCAGCAGTAAGGTAGAATCAAGTTTAAACATATCGTCTTGCGACTTCATACATTTTGTATATTATGGGGTCTGGATTTGTGCATAATTAGAGTGTAATATCATTGCTGAATTATGTGCGCCATCGTTGCACGTGATGCATTGGATTATGCTAGTTTTGCGTTTATGCTTACCATATATGCTTACCACAATTACCAAATAAATATTGCATTTGAATACATAGCAATGCAATGCATTTTACATTATTCAGACAAATGTCTACTCTGGTTGCAATTGACATTACCATAATTGTTGTTTGAATAAAGAAAACATCGCCTTTATGACCGCCACGTCACAAAGAACAAAACATGTGGGATCAATGCCTGATCGCGCCCATTAACGGGCCACACGAAATATTAGTAGCGTGCGGTGAACAGCGCCCGCAGTGACTACTAGTATATGGCCGTGCACAAGCTGGCTCACGTACAGGCGCTAGGGTCAAATACGTTTGGTTATGTACACAAAAGACGAACGCACACGTACAACGACCACCATAATTCATAATTAAACATTATTCTTCAGTTTATAATAATTATTGTAATTTGTCCAGCAGAATGACACGCTTAATAAATACTTCTGAATTTATTTACAGGGAGCATTTTGGGGACTGATGGTTGGTTTGGTCCTAGGTGTCACTCGCATGGTGTTATCGTTTGTGTACCAAGGCCCCAGCTGCGGCGAGCCGGACACACGACCGTTTTATTTGTCCAAGATACATTTTCTACATTTCGCGATTATTTTATTTTTAATAACATTGTTTGTCATAGTGATTGTAAGTTTCCTCACAAAGCCACAGCCAAAAGAACAGGTAGGACCAAACTTCTAACAGTTAAGTAACTTTGATTGAACTATGATTCCAATAATTTTTACCAAAACTGGGGTATGGGGTAAACTGTTATTTTGTAATGAAAAATAAAAGAGCAACTTAACATTCGACAAGCACCTGTTCATCGTTGAGAGAGGGCGGATGATGGACCTCTCTGAGACGAGGACAATTATTGGAGCACTTCTCAAAAATAATGTAGAACACGTTGAAATAACTGCATGCAATTTTAGCGGATTTGACTCTTGGCATGAATTAACAGAATCTTAATTCAGCTAAAGTGTCTTCCCGTGAGAATATACTTTATGTTAAGTTAGCTACATCTTGTATTAGCGAAATTACAGATTAGCTAAATTAGCTAAAATAACATGCTAGCTAAAAAGACATGTTTTACAGTATTCGATGAAGGGGTGAACTGTTATTTTGTTATAATGACAAACATAAGAGCAACTTAACATTCGACAAGCACCTGTTAATCGTTGGGGGAGGACGGATGATGGACCTCTCTGAGACGAGGAAAATTATTGGAGCACTTCTTAAAATACTCTGCACAGACTGCAACTACTAGCATAAACATCATTAGTGTAATGAAAAAAAACACCCCAAAAGCATTTGAACCACAGTTATGTCATCAAATTCATAAATCATTTTGTTTTGTTTTTACTAGTTGATACGTATGACATGGTGGACCAGGCACAGTGTACCAAGTCAAGGTGGGTCACTTGAAGATAAAGATGAAAGTATACAACTGGAGCAGACACGAGATGGCGGTGTTAATTCAACTGCAAGTGCAGCAGATGTCAATGAAGATAATGGGAAATGTGAAAATGTGGACGGTGACGACGCTACAACAGTTACTGATGTCATCGTAGAGAACGATACGGGTGAGAAAATTAATTCAATAATACGTTGGGAGGCAAGGATGAGAAATCAGTAATCGTTTAACAAAATAGTGTTACGTGCACGCGAATTAACCGAATTGAAATGAATAACTGTTGTCACGATTCAAAATAAAATACCTCCATTTTGTTTTTTCTCTCATGCAGACGCCGAAACGCACGAACCGCGCATGTCACTAATGATGAGCATCACGTACTGGTTCTGCGGGTTTACCAAAGTTAGTAAAGACGTCGCTATGGAAGAAGCTAGACGAGAAAACGAAATGATGTCACTGAAGGAAGATGCGAAATGGTCATCTTTCGTGGCAGTAAATGCTGCTATCGTATTGGCTGTTGCTGCATTCTTGAGTGGATATTTCGGCTGATGTTTAATCATTGTAATTTCGTCGTATTTGTTTTTTTATTGGGGAATATTAAATCATGTATAAATCATGTTGTTCAACAGCTGTAACGTATTTGTAGAATGTACTTGTGCGAGTAAAAACAGGACAAACGAAGGTCATTGCGTCGTAGTGGCGTCAAATTTCTTGTGGGATTCGACAAACGCGAACGTATTTTGGGAGATATTTCCATGGTTAATCATGTGCTGTACATTAAATGATGGCCAATTCCGATGAAGTAAGGGTATTCAAACTAAATATTCTCATGTCAATGATCGACCTTTCGATGTGAGCTACGAAATAAAAAAAATCGAGTTCAAAATTGTTTTTTTCGGCAGGCGTTCGGCGCGCGTCTTTCACGCAACTCTCGCAGTTGAACGGAAAATCACCTCTTAAAATTAATGCTTAATAATGTGCTGTACACATTTGACAATGATCACTCATTATTCCCCTGTCAAAGATCGGCCTTTCGACTTTGAGCTATGAAAAAAAGAAATTGGATTTCAAAATCAAATCGTTTGATTTTTGGGGCAGACGTTCGATCCGTGCCTTCAACGCAATTCGCAGGATCTCGCAGTTGAACGGAAAATCACATATTGTCCCATCATAAAATGAGGTGAAGTGAACTTACTGTAACAAGCAAACCAATATATGGTACAGATTTTCTAATCTGATATTAAAGATGCTGTAAATTAACGTCACAGCATACTATAAAACCCCAAATGGGTTAATACTATCAATGGCGTTCATTCTACAATCCTGCACAATCCAATATCACAACTCCAGTCTGGAAATCACTATATTTTACAAGGTTGTGTGTTAACAAATTGACTACAGATGAGTCGAGCACGTACATATGGACAAATCCTACATTGCGCAGAGAAGCTGGTACAAATAGAAAACTTGTTTTTAAATTTCCTTGTATAAGTACATATACAATTTCTAATTACCTAATGCTTATTCAGTCAGTCATTCTTACTCCTAAGAACGAAAAGGTCGACTTTAAAGTATAATAATAAAACCAAAGGCAGACCATAAAGACCAAAGGTCGACAATATATTTGAAGATATCGATAATGTCTACACCACCATACATAATAGGTGGCAAGGGCAGGGTTATCTTATCAGGTAAACACAGGACCGATCAACCCCAATCATATGCACTATATACACAGTGCAGTGTGAAGTACACATTGTATTTTGCTGCATTCAGACGACGCTGCAAAAATGGCGGACACCGAGTACGATACGTCCGTCCACGTCGTCGACTATATAGTGGTAATTGTCACATTACTGGCTATATTTCTACTGGGATTATGGGTAAGTAAAACGGGCAAGTATTAAGATGATTCAAAGGTTAATTATAGTATGAATGATCGTAAATACCTGAATCTGACATAGTTGCTTACTACAAGTGTATGCTACGGTTTATACAGCGTTCTTTGGAACTGTTAATACTCTCCTAAAATAAGACGCTGTATCACGACGTTGGTGTATGCGTAACGGCACAACATACATACATACATGGATTTCATTGTTAAAAATTCACACACGAAGACGTTTGTTTATATGAAGTTTTGCATTAAGTTTTGAAACATAGTAAGTGAAGTACACTGTATATCGTTATAACATTATGATATTGCACAGATCTCCATTACATACGAACTTCCCTCCAACTTAGCGACTTATCAAAAATGGATTCCAAAAAAAGAAAAGAAATACCGATATGTTAATATTATTATTGACATTTCAAGGTAGTTCGATCAGATTCGATGACGAATGAACATGATAACTTTATGTACTATCTATTGAAGATAACAAATGTCATTAATTGACAAGATAATAATAAGAAAAATTCGAAAATACCTTCTGATAAATAACCAGTCTGTTCCTATTCTGTTTTATAAAATATACATGACAATTCTCATTTGAAATTTTCAACTATAAACGAGCATTACAGAACTGTAATGTAAACAGTTTTTTTTTTATCAAAGTCCAACTCCTTGCGATTGCTCTACAGGTTTATTCATTTATGACCCTCTCATTACCGGTAATCTGAATATATATTCTACATTATGCATAATATCACGTGGTCCCAAGTTCAGAGAAACCCCAATATATCAACTGGAATCACAGTTTAAAAATTACTATGAACTCCGTTGAAGAATATGCCAGGCAATGTAATGTACAAGGGCAGGTGGGGATAGACACATTGTAAGAGTGGACAAAGGCAATAAAATTGAAGTGTGCTATTGACGTGAGACAGATGTGTCAACAGACGACCAAAGTCCCTATTTAAAGCGGGAGGATCGTCACCTGCGCACGCGCGGGAATTGAGTCCCAAGCGACGATAACAACACACGCTAAAAACGCAAAGGCTCATGGGTAGACGCTTGTTTGTAGACAATGGCACGCTTTGGCCATCTGGCGCATGCGCAGATGACGATTCCCGCCTTAAAAATTCCTGATAAACTCAATTTCCTGTCAAAGTTTTGTGGAAGATTTTCTGTTGTGTGTGCAGAAAAAAAGCTTTTAACAATTCAGTATTTGTTGTAAGTCATATTATCACGAGTGCCTTATTAAAGAACTTAGGTTTACTGGGAATAATAATTCTACCTACAAACAACAGCAAAAATGAAATTTATATCAATCATAAATCATTTATGACATGGACTAACATTCCTATCAACAAAGAAACAAATGACTTTCCTCGATTGTGTAGTATAACAATAGTAACATACAAAGCAAGATATAGATAATGAGGAGTCACCTATCACCTTAAAATCTATTTTGTCTACTATAAAAACAAAATATATAGAAAATTTGATTAAAAACTTTCTAAAGACGAGATTTTATTTACACAAGAGAAAATTAATATGCAGATTAGCTACCTAATGTACATGCACGTGACCCTTAATCTAAAGGTGTCAAAATTGACCATTTTTGAGATTTTGCTTACACAGGATGAAATGAGGTAATTAAAATGCAAATTACCTACTTAATATGCACGGATATGAGCCCAAAACAGATCTGCGCATGATTCTAAGGCACCTATATACCAAATTTTATGAGAATCTCCTGAGAAATGTTTTTGAAATTTTACATACACAGGCTGAAATTTGCTTAGCACCAAAAAATGACAAACCTTAATATTCAGACCTAATGGGTTTGTAATCTTTGACTTGTGAATTTCTCTATATTATATTCAACGGTCTATAATTGGGTACCTTATTTTATTATTCACGATACCCAGTACAGTTCGTTTTGAACAGTCTTACATACAAACAATCACAAATAAAGTTATTCTGTTATTACTGTAAAAATGGCATTTACATTATGTTTTATTGCAGTCATCAAGACGAGCAAACCGTAGCAACACACAGGGATATTTTTTGGCTGGCAGAACCATGAGCTGGTGGCTGGTAGGTACACGATCATGCTCTTACGTATGCAATGTACCCTTACACCATTCTTATTCATGCTACCAATATGGGTTTTACACTCATTATTTGGGTGTATTAATATTTCCTGTGTTTCGACCGGGTTTTATTCCCGTTTTTTTTAGCAAACCGTACACACGTCAATTTCGTCTGGAAAATAAAGTTCATAAAACATTACTGAAAATATGAGGATTTTGCTGGTGCGAACAAATCAGGTAGTTTTTTTTTTTTTTTTTTTTTGCGTTGCGTGCTATATCATGAAGTGAAATATACCCCATGAATGCGGCGTTAGTTCAGAGTAACTACCGGGAATGCAACATAGACTAAACTAGTAATTCACACAGAGACTACACCAAATATATTGTATCATAGCCCTCATTTATTATTTGTATTCCAGTGATTCCGTTTAATAACGAATATGATGTACTTTCATTATCAGGTTGGCTTATCTCTGTATGTGAGTAACATCGGGAGTGGTACTTTTATCGGCGTGTCGGGCTCAGCATCGGTGGAAGGCATCGCGGTAGTCTTCTATGAATTCTCGGTAAGGTCGCCCTCGTGTCCAATGTTGTTGATGATGCATTCGAGACTAGATGCATCTAAAACCATATAGATTAGAGTGTATGACGTAATTTTAATTACCACACATCGGCCATTACATTAAACACTCATTGCAAGTTGTATTATCTCTAAGACAATATGAAAGCCTGAGAATCCGTTGTCAAACGTCAATTTTCTGTTCACCGTAAGATCACGCGTTATGCGAACTTAAAAACAAGACAAACACACACCATAGTGACGAAGAGACGTCAAAACATCACGTGGGATTCGATAAACATTTTGGGGGTATTTTCACGCTTATTGTTGTGCTATACACATTTGATGTTAATTAATTAGGTATTTTTAGGTGATTGGAAGGAACCGTACTTGCGATTTTCATTAGAAAAGCGCATTGGGTTGTGGGCAAATCAATGTTTAGCAACACAAATGTCGCACATGCGCAGCGCGACGACCACCGCCCTTGAAGATATAGAAAACAATTGAATTCAAAATCAAATCGTTCGGTCCGCGCAAGAATAGTTTTAAAAAGCACAATAGCGAAATTGGTCGTCAGTCAATCCCTTTGACAAACATCGCTATGACGTATGATATATAGGATGTCACAGTAGCATGCTAAGAATTTTTTACAAAATATCACAGACCAATGTTTAACTCGTTTTTCCCCTTGTTGCTAAATCAAAGCACCCGCGCATGCCTCAGATGGCCATAGCATGTCATTGTTTACAAACATGCGTCTACGTGTATTGTTATCGTCGTTTGGGACTCGATTCCCATGCGTATTTATGATGAGGGCCATATGCCAAATTAGGTGGTCTAGGATGTTCTTCCAAACGTAGTTTCTGGCGACACTCCCGAATCTCCTCCGCCTTTCTCGTGGCACTATGCACAATGTGGCTAACATCATTCTATTAACATTGCAGGGTACCAGTTGTGCGGCTCTACTAGGGTTTGTGTTTGTACCCGTCTACATTGCGTCCGGTGTAAGTATAAGAACAAAGCACGTGCTGGTTTTCTATATACAATATATGGGAATGCCGCTGTTGTGTATAGAATACAACACAAACAGTTCAATACAATACAACATCTACAAATCAGAAAATAAAAGTGCCGTCAACGTCAACGTCAGACTGACGAATCTCTGTGACTGTGCACGTTTTATGATTCGTGCAGTGTATTTGTCAAGATCACTGTGGTGTATATATGGTTTCCAGGGGGTATCTATCATGGTGTAAAACATTTATATCACCGTGTATATATTTTATTCCAGTGTTATACGATGCCGGATTATTTACAGAAACGATATGGTGGTCAACGCATACGTGCGTATGTAGCGGTGACGCAACTACTTCTAATGATGTTTTGCTACATTGCGGTAAGCTACTTATGCCCCCCCCCACCCCCTCAAGCGTACCTATAGAGTCAGGATCTATGGGTACGTCCACTCGAGAGTTGTATATTGCTATTCCGTCTATCTATTAAAATTTATTTTATTAAAACACTTCAACAGGAACACATCCCTCATGAAGTTAGTGGTCAAGCGTTTGAAATCATTGGGTGGGGGCTAAGAGTGTTTTTTCCGTGATATATTGTCTGTACTTTTTTTTATTTTTCTTGAATTTTGCCGCCAAAAATTCTTTCTGTATCACCTTGCGTGCATTTTTTCTTTTGATGTTGATCTTGCAATTTTTTTTTTCAACAAATGTTCCAGCCACCCCGCCATGATTCCAAAATGGCCTACAGCTTATAGATATAATGTATTTAGCAGCGGGAACGTTTCTAAGTAAAATCTCCCATAGACACAGTTTGTAAATTAGAAACATTTCATTTGCTCTGCAGGGTGAAATGTATGCGGGAGCGTTAATTATTCAGGTGACCCTTGGATGGAATGTGTACGCGTCGGTAATAGCATTGTTGGTGCTTACAGCAATCTACACCGTAGCAGGTGAGTAACGTGGGTCCATGAGTAACGTGGGTCCATGAGTAACGTGGGTCCATGTTCTACAGTTATAAGTTCATTGAGATTTTTACGATTCTGAATGATACTTACTTTCTGAAGAGTTGAATAACATGCCTTAGACCGGAAATGGCCGTCGAGATCTCGTTGAGAACGAGAGAGCCACGAGAGTTAGTTTGCACCTCAAGTCGTGTGACACTGTTTTGGTTACATAGGTTACGGAAACAGTGAACGCTATGACAGGAGAACATGGAAAACTATTTTAGGAAAAAAAAGCCCCGTGGATCACTCGATCCACAATACCCAAAACTTTGGAAGTACTCTCAGAGTGTAACTTTAATGCATACTTCGTTGGTAGATTTAAGTTCACATATATCTGAGAGTGACTTTGCCTCTCAATAAAACGGAGTATTTGACATTTCGCCCAGGGCCCCCGGTAATTTACTATCTTGTACCGCATTCCCCAAGGTTAGCTGGACAAGTGGCGCCCTCTAGAGATGCGGTCGCAACCCCGTGATTTTCACTTGCAAGTGATTTAATGTGCAATGTCGCTTTCAGTGTCAACATTTCGAAATTGGCAGTAACAAATAACACTAACGACACAGGAAATGTTTCATTAAAATAAAAGTGGGGAAAAAAGATCCATTGGCGCTATAGAAGAACTATAATGTAGTTGATTCGAATGTTTGATTTTCGATAATGGCATATCAATGAACGAATCGAGTAATGTAACTGAACATATTCCTAATTTACTAACAAACTAAAATTAATAAATTAATTCAAAAACAAAAGGAAATTAACTAGTTGACCGGGGGTCACTAGTAAAAACTTACCTAGGACTGAGAAAGCAAGGGGCTCTAAAAATTGTGTTTCAAAATAGGCAAGAGTCTCTTTTTATATTTTCAATGGTAAAAAGATTATTTTTTGACATTTGTCAGGATCCAAAAATGTCGTATTTTTCTGTATTCATGTAAAGTGTGGCGTGTGGCAACGATAGGCTCAATCATCTCAATTTCTGAAGCACAACAACAATCTTTAAACCACTTCAAGTGTGTTCCCGAAAATGTATTTCGCGGGGTATAGGTTATTGATAAATTTCACGAACCCTGATTTACAAGTTGGTGCCTCACTTACCCTTATATAAATAATAGAGGTGACTTGCACCGAATTGTGATTCGTCGTAAATTAAATAATAAAACGTTATTTGAGGGTCGATATTTGTATACACTATCGATGAATTCAATACCCATTTTACCCATACTGCCTTAAATAATTACTCCGTAGGCGGACTAACGGCTGTGATGCACACAGATGCTCTTATGGCTGCCATTATACTCGTTGGGGCATTTATTCTGATGGTTATCAGTAAGTAATAACAAGTTATTTGCATGTTAATTATAGCATTAGCATAACGCGTGCGTAGTGTTATATTAATGTTCGATTTCACATGCAAAGAAAATCTACAGAGTCACAAACATCGCGATGCTTG